AATGCACATCTTTCTCGGTGAGCAACTTCAAGTGTTCAGTTGTTCACCCTGTAACGCTAACCTTCGCAAATCTGAGGTAGACGGAACGTTAATGATGCTGTTAACTACAATCGTAGTGTTTGGCAGGTGTACAACGTGTCCAGTCTTTCCCCGATCGGACGCTCAGTGTGCCGTCTTTTCGAACCGTGGTCTCGTTTAACCCATAACTAGCTAAATGGCAGTATTCGGCAGTATTCGTTTTGTTCTTTCGGGTCTTTTGAATAAAATATAATGTTTTTTTACTACAGACGTGGCGTCTTCGGGAGGAGTACACAAACTGTCTGCTTTTTCTCCGGAAGGTATGTTGCCAAAAACAGTTTGCTCTAAATACTCCTTCTCTGTTTTCCTGATGTTTTCCCCCATGAAAATTTCAACGGACTGACTTTTGAAACTCGTCTTCTGGATTCATTATTACCTTATTCGCCCTGAGACTGTTGCATATAGCCTGATGTCCAGGGTACCTTTAGACCTTGATGATTAAATCTAGTCTGGCTGGTATACCGGTTGCTCGCTGAGAGGTAGCATCCGTCTTTCCACGCACGTATTGCCATCCGTTTTTACTACGTATGTCCTAACTTATACTCGATACGACTGTGAGCATGCCTGTTTTAGTCGGCCTCAATGATGTCACGGACGGTATCTCTCCATGCGTGACAATTAGCGGCAGCTGATCTGGAAAGCTCCACCCATTCTCTTCTTCAGCAACGGAGACCGAAGAACGAAGGTCTTAGGACCGTCTCCATGTCTTGACAACTGGTGTCGAACCAAGTCTTAAGTTGACCTCTTCTACGCCTCCAGGCGGACAAAGGCGCCGGATCGAGGGCAGCAACACTGAGGTCGTCAAGTGGACAAGGAATGTGCCCAAACCGCCTCAGCTGTCTTTTTGGGATGGTCTGAGATGTCCTCGCGATACTGTCGCAGCGAGTGCGAACTATTTCATTTGAGACGAAGTCGGTATACTTCACTCGAAGGATGACCCTCAGGTAGCGGTGGTCAAATACCTCCAGTCTTCACTCATCTTCAACGCGCAAAGCCCCGCATTCACATTCATAGAGGAGGATTGAACGGAGGGATGCATGGTACATACGGATTTCCTAACAATGGAGATGTCGCGGATGATTTAGATTGAGTTCGTGAACTGCCATTACTTAGGTTTGCTTGCTACTGCTGCTTTGTGGTTAGGTTCTTGATCAAAATTGCTAGAGGAAACAACTTCGAATAAATAATTCGAGCGGCTTTCAGGGATCCAACTATAATCCAAATTTCCAAGAACTCTCATGCAAATGTCTACGTGTGCCCTTATTTTCCGTCGATCTTATTACTCAGTGTCATCTACATTCCCGCTGACAATGTTAGTCTGTTAGCTGAGCTAACGACTTAGGCAAGTTTGTGAATTCAGTCTTTGACACCTCACTTCGAGTTTTCTCAAGGTGATATGATATCTCAATCGCTACGTAGGCTCGCGTATACCTTTAATACGTTCAGTCTGCCCTTCTCTACGGTTGTGAATGCGGGGCTATGCGCGTGGAAGACGAAAGAAAACTGGAAGTATTCGACCACTATTGCTTGAGAACCATCCTTTGGCTGAAGTACACTGACCTCGTCTCAAATGGGACAGTCGGTAATCGCTGCAACAACATCGCAAGGATATCTGAGGCCACCAAAGAAAGACGACCGAGGTAATTTGGACACGTTCTTCGTCGTCAATCTCACGAGCTCAGAGTTACTGCCCTCGATTCGACACCGTTACCCAATTTGGGACATCGAAAAGGACTTCAGCTCTAAAGCTGGCTCGTCAAGACATAGAGTTTTTTCTTGGATCGTCGGTATTTGGCCTTCTTCGTTGGCGAAGAGAATGGATTGGACCGTCCGGGTCTGCTGCCCCGGATCGTCGCGTGTGGAGAAGTACCACCCTGGACATCATCATCCTAGATCAGGTATGGCCACAGGCGTAACAAGTACAAGTACTTCGCGCACAAGAATACGCAGCCTGGACATACCTGTTTTACCATATTGCATATATTCTTTCAGTGTCTGCTAAATGCACAGGGTTGCAGCGCAATGAATGTGTCCTGCCTCTGTGTGTAACCTTAGTCTTGTGCCTGTTTACTGCAGAATTCGTATGCAGTGTTTACCTTTGTTGATGCATGTTTGTCTGATGCCAACGGTAGTTGTTAGTAGTTTGAATGAATTCCAGTCGCCATGATTAGGCCTCTGCCATCTTAGCAGCAGGCGTACCGAGCAGGGAACTGCTTGAGTTTGGTGAACGGAGATCATGCAGGTTTCTTCGGTTTGGGTATTGTAGGCTTTTACGTGCATTCCCACTCACTCCTATGCATATACAATACCTGATCGATGTCCACGTAGACTTTGGTCCTTCAAAGTAGTGTTCCCCTACCGAACGACTACAACATTCCAGCCTGTCGTCACGCCAAACTCTCCTTTATGTGAGACCACGTCTAACTGGATCATAACGCCGCCCGTCACAAAGCCTTTTTCTGCCATTCAGACCGCAAGCCCAATTTTTCCATCGTCAACTTCAACACTACATCATGATATTGCCGGCAAAGACAAGGGAGCCTGGAATGGCCATTTCTGGCTTATTAACCGTCGTCAGATAGTCATGCCCAGACCCAATGGATGTCCCGCCCGAGCCTCGAACTCGCGACCTTTTTTATCAGAGTCAAACGCCCTAACCATTGGGCCACGAGCTCCTTGTCTTACCGGCTTAGGTAGGGGGATATTGACGCTCATTGATGAACGTTCACCCGAAGCATGGTTGAAAAGTTAGATTGGCAACCAAATGTTTTCGATCACTGTCAGGCCGATACATTGACATACAGAATGAAATTGTCAGTCATGCACAATGTTTATGTGGTTCTCGACATCATAAATGGCTAGTCATACTCTTCGTTCTCACGCCGCCTGCATGCCGGAGTCGGCGTGTTGAGGACGTTGAGGTTGGAAGCGGAGGAAGGGAACGTATTCAGGGGTAGGCCGTGGGTGATGTTTTTGCGTCAAACACGTGGAGTGCGTGTGACCGTGGTCAGGAGGTTTCGGGCGGCGTGCGATTACCACCTGTAGTCGGCCAAGGAAGAAAGACCGCCTGTACCAATGCATTTTGACAACAGAGTGCTGGGTTCGCTGACTGAATCTTTATTTGCCTCGGTTGTTGCTAGCACCCGCTGGCGTAGGCCTGTAGAGTATTGTGCTGCTGCACCATACACTGTACAAGACCGATGATTTCATATCCCGGGTCAGTGTATCGGCCTGACTATGAATGACCGAAAACAATATAATTGGCCGATCTAACTTTTCAATCATAACATGGTAATCTTTGCAGAACTAAGGCAGTCCAAAGATCCTTTGATTTTAAAGGAACTCGGTGAATTCCTAAAGTTTAAGACCAGACTTGCGGATGCAACTGCCAACCATGTCTCTTTACCTTTCAACTTTTCAAACCGGCCAATACTTTCAGTCGCAATTACCTGAGTCAATTCATTTCCCTGTCATCATGCATGTTTTTCGTCTCGTCTAGTCATGGCGAAATCTGCGCTCTGGAGCCACTCCGTCCAGCCAGTACTAAAGTATTTCTCCGCGGCATCAATACATCAAGTTCCAAAACGGACGCCAACGTACTGGCTTCACGTCTTCTTTACCAGTCTGCTCTGGTTGCCATGGCGTCCTTCACCAAGGTTATTGTCGTTGTCCTAAGGCCCAACCTTCGCGTCGTTTTCTGGCAGCATTTAAAGGTAACTTCCCAACAAAGTCATATTTTTACTTGTTGTTGATACTTGGATTGTGACGATGCATTAGCGGCACTCTGTCCG